CAGACAGACAGTCAGTCAGACAGTCAGTCAGACAGATAGACAGTCAGTCAGACAGACAGACAGTCAGATAGACAGTCAGTCAGACACTTTATTGATCCCGTAGTAAATTATATGGCGGTCTGTAGCTCCCATTCATACAAACAATAAAATAAAAACATACTAGTTAAAAAAAACCCGGAGTATTAAAAAAATCAATAAATAATTAAAAACAACACTAAGAGGAGATCAAGCAGCAACTACAGTATGTCGGGGGACATAACCAGCTAGCTTCTCTGGTTCCTGCCTAGAGTGGCCAAATTCTACAGCCTAATGGCACAAGGGATAATGAGTTCTTTAGTCTCTCAGTAGAGCAGCTCATTGAACTTCACTGATTAGAGAAGACAGAGCTCAAGGGGTATTTAAAGAACTACAGTAATATATATCTATCAAACTAAATAAAACAGCACATGACAGTAAAATCACACCGTATTTTGCTAACTTGAAGAAATGTAAAATGTGTAGTTTATATATCATAAAAAAAAACACACTTTTAATTTATCAACAGTTTGAAACTAAATAAAATGGTATAGTTGAGTGATTTTTGCTAGAAAAGATGGTTCTTAAGTAAGAAACTAAATTGAACTTGATAAAGGAAACTACACAGAGGGCACACCAACCTTTCCCTGGGTTGATTTTCACCACAACAGGCAGCTCCCATGGCTCCCCAAACTCAGGGCCGTGGTTGTCCAGCAGCCTCACCAAAGCCTCTCGGCTCAGGCACACGTGAGGTTCATAAAAAGAACTAAGTTTCTCTGCGTTCCCATCGTTACTGACCATCTGCAGAATAAAACAAGAGCAAGTTATCTCAGATGAATCAAACAAAGGCAAGTTTTAAAATAAACAGGCTTTGCCGGTACTGTGAGTGTTATCAGAAACAAATCTCCAGATTTAAAAAGCAAGACATGGACACCCTCTGGTGTCTTCTGTGAAAACTGCACGGGCAGAAATGGCAACGCAGCACACACCAGTGAAATATCTCTGCTTTGTTGGAGCAATTAAAAGAAGTAAGACAGTTGCTTACAGCATGCATATGCCTGGCTTTTATAGCTGGAGGATTCAATGATGAAACACTCTGATAATCCGATGCAAGCTGCACGTCAGCAGGCACCATCTTATGGTCTGTTACACTCACACTGCCCTGGAGAAGGAAAAAAAAGGGTGCAAATATGGAAAGAGAGACTTAATCAACACCACAAGGCTGATTCTGCAATTCAAAACTTGAAGCTGAAAGTTTGCACGACACAAGACAATGATATTTCTGCGCAACTAAAGAACATTTAATCTTGCTCTTTCGTGATTTCATGTTACCATCGTTAGCAGCTGCTTCTCGAAGGTCAGCGCCAGCCCGGGATTAAACGTTCCCCCTGTCAAACTGGTCATCTCGTGGATTTGGTAGAACTGAGGCAGAGTCTTAATCCACTCTAAATAAGCCCTAAATAATTCCTGAAACATATTTGGGTGATGTTTGAATACTTTTCACGACTAAACCACTCCGAGCTGATGTAACAGAAAAACCCTGCAGCATCCTTACCTCTGTATACTGCACAGCGCCTGGTGATATGAGCTTGTAGTCATCAGCACACATTTTAGCGACATCTTGCAGGTACGTCATGAACTGAGCCACTTCATTATTTAATCGCGTTTTAAAACCCTGAAAAATCAGAGAAGACAAACATGAATGCAAACAGCAGGGATAAGATTTTTGGGAAGGAAATGCCAGGAGATGCTGGTACCTGTGTAGGACTCCTAGTTTTATTACTCAACATATAGCCAACATGTGCTTTCTGTTCATGAGCGCTCAGGCTGGACATACGGGGATAGGGCAGCCTGGGTTCAGGATAAGGAGCATCCACCTCCGCGTCAGTCTCCATCCTTTTAGATTTCCTGCCCCCCTTACTCTCCGTGCCCTCAGCATCATCGTCTGAAGATGGATCATCACTATCACAGTTCTCCCAACTGGACGCTTGGCTGCCGCTGACGCAACCGTTGCCTTTCAACTTTGCAGCACCTTTTATGTTAGGAGATCTGGCGCCTTCTGCAGCCGCAATGCAATCTTGTTTTATGTTGTCACTCACTGCAGGACTTAGAGGAAAGAAAAAAAAAAGACGAGACAGAATGTGTCAAACAAACAAAAGCCCTCAAAAACAGAAAAAAAAACCTGATGTCTTAATTTTGATATATATTTAAAGACCAACCTTTGAAGAATATCCAAAAGTTCTCTGATATGAGGAGCAAGTGAGTATGTGTCATAAAGATCTCTGGTGAAGAAAGGACCATCGGGAACTGGCTCCTCATCCCTGAAATTCAAGGAAAAACAGTAAATGACTTCATAGTTACTTTCATGTAGCAAAGTAAATAGAACAGCCCTTACCTTTTATTGGAACAAACTCAATCCAGAATTCACATGAAAGACAGACATTAACTAGTGTTATCAAGTTCCTGTCGTAGGATTTTGTAAACTGTGAAGGATTCTGGTTTTGCATCTTTCTTTGCTTTTCAAAACATACAGTAATATTACTATGGTGTAAAAACAGTAGTATTCACCAAGTTATTTTGCAAAACCTACTAAGTCCATATGGCAATTTTAAGCTAAAATATCAATTGATAAAGCATATATAAATAAACAAAGCCATAACTGAATAGATTGTCTCAGAAATTATTGCGATAAACGATAAAAATTGTTTGAAATTTGACAATTTCAAACAATTTTTATCGTTTGAAATTGTCAAATTTCAAACAATTTTTATCGTTTGAAATTGTTTGAAATTTGACAATAATTAGTAATTATTGTCAAATTTAAGAAGAAATGTTTAATTTGCTTTGCATGTAGTAACTTTTTTGACCAACTGATGGCAGTACAGGACAGAACCAAAGGATGGATAGTGAGGGAGAAAGCAGCATGTATTTAAGAAAAATGGGAGGGAGGCCCCTTGACATGACATGGGCTGTCTCTCTTTGGTTCTCAAAATGGCGGATGCTCGGTGTGGTTTGATCTCTTTAGCATAGCATTTGTCACACAAAGCTTTTAATAAAAAAAAAAAAAAACAGTAAACAAGTTCTCAGCTTCTTTGTGCAGAGGAAAAACAACGTTTTACACGAAGGCACAGGTTTCAACTGTGAATTTTGGAGCTTCAACAAGATTGGAGGGTTTTTCCTCGAGGTCAGCCCGTTAGCTTAGCTCGTAGCTTAGCTGCTTTTAGCGATCCAAAAATGTGATGTTGGATAGCTAAAATGGATTTTAAAGAGAAAAGAGAAAGGGAGGGGTCAGTGAAGAGCACCGGAGTTGAGCCTTTTTTCATCCAGTGTCTTCAGTAGAAAGAGAGAGACATGAAGAAACAATAAAATCGATAAATGAAAATAAGGTTGGTAATTTTCATTTATCATGCGATTGATTTATTGTTTATTGCGACAGGCCTATAATTGACATATTTTTGTAATATTCCTGAGGACATGGTAAAACACAAATCAATAGCAATGATACTATTCAGTTATAGGGATTTTTATACAATGTGGTGTCATGTTTGAGATTGTAAAATGTAAAGTGCAGTACAAATTGAATAAATTATTATTATTATGGGACACTACAGAATGCATCGACTGATTAAGAGCAGCATTTAAAACATGCCTGCTGTTCTGCAGACGGTTATACTGCTGGTATGCTTTGACTTGGTGAAGCACGGACTCCAAAGAACCTGAGGCAAGCCTATACTGTAGCATCAGACAGTCCTAGCTTTAATATATAAACCTAAATAATTTCTTTGTGGGTACAACATTTATCTCCCCAGCCTTCAAATAAGCAGTTGATTTCTTTCATATGAAGAAATCTAATATGCAGTTTACATTCCTACTTTGGCATCTTTCTATCAACGCCTCTATGATGTTTTCAATAATTCTGCTACTGTTCGTGAGAGGGACTGACTCGTTTAAGTCGCTCCTCACTCGTTAACTCACTAAACCTCAAGAGCCCAGAATGTGCTGCAGGTTCAACAGCTGCAGCGGAGCACTTCTATTAGTTCCTCTCAACACATTGTTTGGAGAAAAGTTTACCATTGGATAGTTGAGGAAGTCATTTGGAAGCAAATTTTAGGAAAATTACCATCATATATCAACTCCAAGTTCATTTCACTACACAACACACACAGTCTCAAGGCCAGTGGTTTAAGGTATCCTTTGTGCGCACAGAGTCAGCAAAGATGAGTTTGTCCTATTTCGGACCATGGTCTTGGAATGACCTGCAGCTCATGTAGAGGTCTGAGTCTTTTATTCCTTTAACTAGTTTGAAAGAAAACTTCAACTGCATGAAACAAGTCTCCTGGCCAGAAGAAAGCCCCAAGCAATCGCATCCTTCTCGTACTTGCTGAAGGACGTATCCACAGGGACCACCATGAACAGTTTTAGGCAGATGCTACTTTAACAAGAAATTTAAATACTTATTTTTGTTATTTAAAATTCAATTTTGCAACACTTCATTAAAACTCCTACAAGTAAACAGGCAAAACCAAGTAAAAACAGGACGCATAATTCTAAAAATAGACTTTATAAGGGGCTCTGTCTGCTTTATAATTTATATGACTCACACAGTCACAGAATAATTAAGATGAATAAAGTAAAGATGAATAAATAAGCTGCTAATGTCCAAATATAAACTTTAAAAAATCTTTAGAGCTTTTGCTCGACATAACGTCCCAAAATTAGTAAACAATATTGTTTTAAACAAGAATAAAGGTATGCAACAGTACATTAGTTTTGATAATACCAGCTGCACTACACTTAGTATAGCTAGCATAAAATATGACGGTTTCTTTTAGGATTAGCTTGCTCTTGGTCGAGCTGACTTTGGATTGCATCATAACCAACAAATCAACACAGACTGCTTCCTGACGCAGCGACACTTGTGCTCACTTACCATTCTATCTCCATTGTTGCTCACAGTTACACGTTCGCAGGAATAAACACGTTAAGGTGAAATAAAATGGACCATTGAGTCAGACATCACGAACTCTAAACGTAGGATGAAACCGTTCTTCACCTGTTGAAAATAAAGCAGCTTCTAAACGCTTTGTGAACGCTGCCGCCCCCAAGTGGACACTAGCGGTAATGCAGGGTCACTGTTTAATGCTATTTTGCTTTAAAGTGCTCAATATTCAGCTACCTTTCTCTCAGTTATTAGTTTAAATATTTTATTGTGTGCTCCCTGACTAATTCCATATATCCCACACCATTTTAAGCTAATTAATTGAATATTCTTGTCCTTATCTAAATATATTTATCTTAAACAGATGATTTCACTTATAGAACATTTTTAGTCATGCCCAAAATACCTTACCTTTTACTTACTGACTCAAATCCATCACTATAAATAAACCTCAAATTTATAGTAGTTTGATATGCAAAATCTGTCAAACATGCTTTAAATAAATTTAAAAAATAGATGCTTATTTTTGCATTAAATCATTAATAAAATGTATTTAACTCGGTTTTAAAAAGAAGCACATTATGGGAAACTTTTGAAAAGAAAAATAATGTATGCAAAATTTTCTTTAACTTCATCACACTGCAGTTCACAATGTTTCATCAAAACCTGTAATGTGTTACATGGAAATTTTTACTGAAAAATTAATGCTCCTTGCAGGGAAGTTGAGTCATTCATTAAACTAACAGATTTTCACTTGAAGCCTAGATCTACAAAAGTTCAACCTGTTAAAGAAAATTACAGATTAAATCTGAGAATGATCTCGCAGAGAAATTCTACAGCTAGATCCAGACTTTGAAAATGGTTAGATAGGTTTAATTTCACACACGGTAAACATACACACACAATGATTTATGTTTTAGGCAATTATGGTTTATCATATTTTTCTTGCAACTTGCGCTAATTTAAAATTTTGGTTGACATTAGCGTGTGTAACATCAGTCTGTTGCTAAAGATGTTGCCAGAATGGTAAACTGATCAAATATTATAGAAGAAAGTGTGTTGTTAGGATCATATCTGATTATGTTTTTGTTGTATGTATATATATATATATATATAGGCCTGTGATTCAGCCGCCATC